TAAGACGGGCACGGTACTAAAAGTTACCATTGATCTCAGTGGTGGGCTTGATATCGATGGTTTGTCTTTCCTAAAGCTTTCGGGGTACGATCTTTGCCGCACTGGAGCGATGAGTATACTGTGGAGACCTTTTCTCCCCGTCTTTCTTTCAGGTCTAGTATATCTGTCGGAGATGCCTGCCGCAGATACCGACCTCCCTTTCCACACTTGTCGCCTTGGATACCTATTCATCCATCCCGCACATCCAGTCATGGATCATTGTTCTCAAGAGTTTCCAGCTTTCGTACATCGCCTCGCCGCGTGAAAATAACAAGTCGGCTAAAACGGTCAATCAGATAAGAACTGGTCTTGATTCTGTTCACCTCTATTACTCGTACAACCCGGCACGGCAACCTTCACTCAGCCTTGTCTTGGCACAATCCCTGTGCAAGCGCTAACTGAGGCGGTGCATGCTAACTTAGCCCCCGCATCTTATAAGATGTGCGTGTTTATGACCTGCCCCAACAACTCTCCTTCCATACAAAAGCGCAATTCAGAAATGCGATCACGATGTTCTCAAACCTCATCCACAAGTCAAAGACCTTTACCCCCTTAGTTCAGGAGACAGCTACCTTGGAAAGCGACCACACACAAGATGGAGAGAACTACCACGCTTACCCCTGGCGTCAAGCCTGGACTCCGACCATCCTTCGCTCGGCGACATTGGTCGCGTTTGCACTTCTCTTCGCCGCGATGATCGTGGTCATCGAGGTCTTGTCTTCTGTCTCAGCCCGGAATCAAGGTCTCAGCACCAGCGAAAGCAAATATCATTACCTCTGGACGTATGGTCCGACAGCCGGTAGGTGCTCTGGCAGTTTTCATGTGCACCGAGTGGGAGGGCCATTGCTGATAGAGGGCTGTGGGAATAGCCCTGACAATCGTAGCCGCACTATGGGGCCAGGTCGAGTATCGCACCAAGCAACTCATGCCCTGGTGGGCGATGGCACACTCCGGCCCCCAACCTGCCTCGCGATCCCTCCTGCTGGATTATGTCTCGGAGTGGAACGTGATCGCACTTTTTCGCTCGATGCGTCACGGCGATTGGGCGGTGGTACTGGCGATCTTAGGCACCTTGCTGATCAAACTTCTCACGGTCGCCTCGACTGGTTTGTTCATGCTGCAGACTGTATGGATGGAGCACGCGGCTGCTGAGCTTCGCCATCTAGCCCGCTTTGCAGGGCTGGGGTACAATGGGAGTCTAGTGGATGGGAGTGCTGCGACTGTCGTGGCTGGAGCCCGCTGGCAGGAGTTGCCCTACCCTGTCGGCACGACCGAGGAACATGCCTTTCAGCCTTTCACGGCGAGTAGCAGTGGCAATAACTTCGGTACGGTGATACTATGGACCAACCGAAAGCAAGCAACGCCCTAACTTCTATAGGTACCAGTAACGATGGGATAATCTCCGGAACGGTGGATGTTTTCTCGGCGGATTTGAACTGCCATGTTGCAACCGTCGCCAACTGGACTGAGGGCTGCACTTCGTCCGGGTGCGAGCAGACTCGACTGAGCATCACCCTCAGTACCAGTACCTCGTCCTGCGCGGGTGGGTATCGTTTCTCCAGCTTCCAGAGAAGCTACTCCTCCGCTGGGGGCTATTATGCAGACGTGTTTTCGGTTAGCTGTGTTGATGCAGAGGATGATCCTCGCGTGGTTGTTGCTGCAGCGCACTGGACCGCCAACAAGACCGAAATCCACGGCTTGGTCTGCAGCCCGTTGTACTCCATTGCACCACGCTCTGTCTCGCTACGCCAGACTAACCACAGTGTGGTCAGTATTGACCCACCCCCAAATTCGAACCACACCACCCAAAGAGTCCTTGCAGACGTGTCGCCAGCAGATTTAGGGGTGGGATTTGTGTCCTCGTTGACCGCCGCAGCCGATATCCTTGACACGCTGGGCTATGTCGATACCTCGACCAAAGGCTGGAAGACTGCGGAATACAACCTGTCAGAACCGAATAGTACTTACCCCAGTGCATTCGCGATTATCGCGAATCTGACCGCGCCGCACCCCATGCGCGATTTGCTCAATACCTCGCTCTTGGAGAGTGTAGCCCGACCCATGTTTGCGGCAATAGCGGCCCAGGTGGCAAGACAGTATCTCCTCTCCCCGTCGGACACGTCCTTCGAGGGTACGTATTCGGCGTATGTCAACCGACTGCTCTTGAAAGAGCTTTCTGTGCGACTGATGGAGGGAACACTGGCTGTTTTGATTGTCGTCGCTGGAGCGTTGTGCTTCTTGCGACCGGTTCGCTGTACGCCTCGAGATCCAGGCACTATCTCCGGGCTGGCGAGCATTCTAGCGCGGAGCCCTGCCATGGAGGAGCGACTGCTGCGGGGTAAAAATGGGACGGAAATTGCGGAGGAGTTGAATGGTCGTCGCTACCACACCCAAATCACCAACGAACACAATTGTCTGAGCTTTACTATCGCGACTGACCAGACAGCTAGTGAGATTATGCGGACTCGAATCACCTCCGGGCCTATGAAATGGTGGGAGCCGATATCCGTCTCCATCTCCTGGCGGGTGACTACAGTCGCGCTGCCTCTGCTTGTCATCGCTGGGCTAGAAACAACGTACCAGATCTCGTCTCGACACAGCGGGCTGGGCACTGTGTCTGGGGAATACCTTCGGTATACTTGGGTGTACCTCCCCGCGATAATCATGCTGGTAGTGCGCATCTTTTTCGACTCGATTCACTTCTCGGCTCTCGTGCTGCAGCCTTACCTGGACCTGCGACGCGGGGGGGTCATTGCACCACGAAGCATCATGGAGAATCACCTGTCCAGCCCGACGCTCGTCTCGTTCGTCAAGGCCACCCTACGACGACAAGGTGCCGTAGGGGCTACTGCAGTCGCCGTGCTACTCGCGCCGATTCTCACCGTGGCCGTCAGCGGACTATACCTCACCCAGGAGATCGCGCACTTCCAGGCTGTCTCCATCGCCCGTGTCGACAGCTTCAACACCACCATCGACCCACATTATTCTACCTCCAGCAATGCAGGCGTGGGGCTGGCAGGAGCCCTGGTCGTTGCGGCTAATCTCTCTTATCCTGCTTGGACTTACGAGGAACTGGTGCTGCCGACTCTCAGTGAGGCGTCTCTCACCAGCAAGCAGGGTCCTGTACAGTACCGCTCCGCCAACGGAAGCGTGGACCGTTCTTCTGTGCTGCAGATGACGCTCCCCAGTCTCCGGGCCCGTCTCGAATGCCAGATCCTCGCCGAGGACACAGTCTACAGGGTTGAGGAGCCCAGCGCGCTCCTTTCCGCCTGGAACCTCTATCTGAACCTGGATCCCAACTGCAGCCAGAATGTGTCGTCCAGCTTCGCAGTTAGCACTGACTATCCGACCATGAACAACACCTCATTCGGCTCGTTGCAGTACATGAACCCGAGCGTGGCGATGGGCCATTGTCCGACCTTGATGGGGTGGTACGGTGTCTTGACGGCGAACTCCACCAAGGGGTTGCAAGGGTTCACCTGCGATCCCTACGTTGACCAGGTTGATGCCGGCGTGACATTTACCCTTCCAGGTCTACAGACCACCGGGGCGACCGCGAACGAATCGTCCCGCCGACTCTTCAGTGCCGAGTTTTCGTCGGACCTGCTGTTTCCCAATTATCTTCCGCAGGCGACCAACAACGAGAGTCAGGCATTTGACGAGTTTTTCTCGGCCATGATCCACGATCAGAAGACCCTCACGGTGGAGGATATCACGGGCGCCCCCGACGATCTCTCGCGCTATCCAGCCGTGATCAACGCAACTCAGCACCTTTACCGCGTCCTCATGGCGCAAGGGCTGAACGGCAATTCGCGGATCTTCTCCGCCAATGCAACAACGCAACGATATTCAGGAACGCTTATCCGGCCTAATCGAGTCCGGCTCATTCAGAACGGACCGTCAACGAGGATTCTCGAGGGTTGTCTGGCTGCGATGGCGCTCTCAGTCCTGGTTGCGTGTTACTTCTTGCAGACCAAGGAGGTCATCCCTGTGAATCCGTGCAGTATTGCGGGAGCAGCCTCGCTGCTGGCGGGGTCCGATCTGGTCAGGTCGGATGTGCTACCGGCGGGGTCGGAGTGGTGCGGTGATCGGGAATTGTTGAGACGGGGGGTCTTTGCCGGATGGGTGTTTGGATTGGGGTGGTGGGATGGAGGGCGGTTCGGTGTGGATATTGGGAGGGCAGAGTGAAGATTTTGATGCCCTACCAGGTATGCAGCCGCTCTTGCCTCTACAATCGCCCACTGCATCCCCAGCAACAATACCACCAAGGATGATTGTCCACCACCTCCGCCCTGGAGCATCCCGATCTCACGTTCGGAACTGATAACAACACCATGATATACAAAAAGACAAGCAACCATCCGAGTCAATTTTTGGATCATCCAAATCTCACAACCACTGGCAATATCTTCGCCTACCACATGACACTGGTATCACGTCGCTAGCCCCCTTTTTCGTGCTCGCTAGGTTGCGTGGTACTGTTTCCATGCCCAAGATCTTCATGGTTGTTCGAACCCGTCGATAGTCGCTGTCCGATACTCAATCACGCCCACCAAGTGCCACCGTATCCAGCTATTCTGGGATCCATGCAACCATCCGTACATGTTCTTCCCAAGAGATGCCAAATGACCGCACTACCGCCTTCACTGATCCTCATCCACTATTACGTGGCTGGTCGCAAGGCTGTTCTGATAATTCGAGGCTCGTACTCATTGATGGTTTGCGAGGATGGTTGTGCACCGAGTCTGGGCTGCTGTCATGTCAAAGCTCTCCGAGATAATACCTCGAGGGTATCGATCATAGGGTAAATTGAATTTCTACCAAATATTGTTTGGAAGAACATTGTTCGGAGGGCAAAATAACATCTCCTAACCCTGCTACTACCGAAGTTTTGCTCCGAGAAAGCGAGCATGCATCATCCCCTTCGGCCCCCCAACAGGAACAACACCATTTCCCGCGTCTCACTTCCTCTTCTTCCTCGAACCAAACGTCCTCTTCTTCAATCCCACCCAATTATCCCCCTCAAGGTACAACCCATGCTCCTCGACCAACCTGGCAAACTGCTCGTCCCTCCCCAGCACCTTCAGGTCAATCTGCAGCAACCGGGCGATGATGGGCGCGAGGTCATGCGCGGCGCAGACCCGGAGCTCATCCCCCCCACTACTCATCGGCCGCTTCTTGCGGTGGAGGCGCTCGAGCTTCTCCCGGAGTTTCTCCCCGACCACCTGCTCCACCGTCCGGCCGTGCACGCCGCTCGCGCTGGTGCGCTTGATCAGCTGGGCCTCGTCCCAGGTGAAGTAGGGCTTCCCGATGTAGTACGGGTCGGCCACTTTGCCCAGCCGCTTCTGCGATGCGGGGTGGTTGAAATTGCTCAGGTCGTGCAGGAGGACGTGGATGCGGTACCAGAGGGTTGGGGAGGTGGTGTCCCCGTGCTTTAGGTCTGATAAGGTGGGAGGAGGGGGGAGAAGGGACTGGGATTGGGATGAGGGAGAGGAGGGGCCAGGCACCTCCGTGTCAAGGGAGGTACTAGCCATGATGGTGGGCTGCTGGGTGAGAGATCGAGATGCTCCGTTTCAGGGCATTGAGGTTGGATAGCATTGTTTTGGTTCTGCAGGGGACTGTGAGGGGGTTGGGATCGTGGAGAGGAGTCCGGCGCGGAGGTCTGTTCCGAGCATCTGTTTTCATGGTGACGCATGTTGGTTCCGTTGGCATCTTAGGACTGGGCTCTGGGTTGGATGCTGGGGGTTTGCTGCAGGGATATCTGCCGGGTGACCATTCTGTCCTGGTTGCAGGATGAAGCTCTTCGGCTGTTATCCATTCATGGAGAACGTAGGTCGTAAGGATTACCATTTGGGGCGTTGTGGGAACGCGTTGTGGGAACGCGTTGTGGGAACCCTGGACCTGTTATCCGTGGTGTTAAAGGCGTACTGTGCAGGCAGTATAGAATCCTAGTGGTTTGTGTTTCGTCAACCGCCCGAGCAGCATGAGGTTAAACTCGGTCGGTAGCGATTAACAGATCGAGATAGTATAGCAGGTCGATCAAGAAGATATCTTGGTGACTAGAGCGATGCGTCTCAGATCTCCAAGGTGTGCTTTGCCAGGGACACTTGGAACTCGTGGCTGGCTTGAGTGGCTATGGCTGTGCTATCACATTACTCGGACTCAATAGTCGGCTGTTCTTCAGTCCCCCGGGCCCTTCGCTTGGTTTTCCCATTCGTTCAACCCATGTTAGGCCTTCTTTTCCACCTGCGAAGTCTTTTGTTCTATCGCTTCCAGGTCTAGGCTCTGCTAAGTCATCCTCCAAGCCAAGGCTTCGTGTCGGAACCCAATTACTCCGTCGGGGAGTAGGAGGGTAAAGGAGAACAATATCGTGTAAGTGACAACTGAGATGTAGAGATGTATCCTTTTCATGTCCAGATCTATCCATCGACAGAAAAACTCTTTACGACGGTCTTTGTGGTCCATAGAAATGTTTGCTTGAGCTTAGGCCGGCGATCAATAGCGGGATGCAGGCGGTGGCATTAGGGCTCAGCTCGAGGCCGATCGGCGGGTTCCAGACAAAGAGCTCGTGCCAACATCCTGGTTCCTGCATGCGTCTACAGCCTGACCAGGGGGGTTTCAGGTCAATCCTTGTCGAGATGCGGACTGTTCATTCGGCCAGGCGAGCGCCCGGCAAGCGACCATTGACAGCCACTTCACATAGACTACAAGCCATCGCCGTATTGTGGTTCATACCGGGGAGAGAGCAAGGATGCAGGGTTTGATGCTCGAGTACTCCGGAATGCGAATACTAAACCTATCTTTTATGCGTTCACTCGCCACTCACTTGCAATCCCTTGCAGGAACTTCTCGCCAAATGTACCTAACCTCTATTCGAGCATCTACGCCTGCTAGGATAGACGCTTATCGGTCTGAGCCTAGATAAGAATTGTCCGATCGATAAGTGCCCGTCAGCGCATAAATCTAGAACATGAGTTGGTTTTCCCGCCTCGCTCACTAACGGTCAGCTTTGCGCCGATCACCGTGATGGATCAACATATTCGATCGGAGTGATTCTTTGTTGACGGGCAATAGTTTCTCGCTAGTTGCAGCTGCTCAGCTGAAGTTTACCTTTGTCGATTACTAGTCCAAAATCCGAATACCTTCAAAATTGCCCTCTATGGCCAGGACCCCGGTATATATATCACGCCCGCAACCCTCCCGGGACTGTCTCATTACCCTTCATCATCCAGGATCAAGCAGGTCAACCATTCCTTTCCTCCAATTTCTTCTGTCCTTTCTCTTCTCCTCAACTTGTCGACCCGTCATTCTCTTGCCCTTGTCGACTACACGTTAGACACTCTCTCAACAATGAAGGCCTCTTTCTTGACGGCCCTCGTCCTGGCCGCCTGCACGGTGGCCAGCCCCGTGGGCCAGCCTTATGCTCGCGACGGTGAATGTACCTGCCAGCCCAATGGCGGTCATGGCTCTGGCTCTGGCTCTGGCTCTGAGCCCCTGCAGCCTGTCCCCGAGTCCGAGTCTCCTGCTCCTTCAGCGTCCCTCTCTCCCGGTGGCTCTCCATCCGGTGTTCCTTCTTTCCCCGGCAATCCAGCGCCTGCTTCCTCTCAGCCTGTCACTCTTCCAGGCTTCCGGCCAGCTCCCTCCGCTACTGTGCCGTTGGCAGCATCGTCTCCGAATGCTGAACCTTCTGGACAGCCTTCGGGTCTTCCTGGATCCACGGGCTCTTCTGATCCGTCTGGTCCTTCTGGTCCTTCTGGCCCCTCGAACCCCTCTGGTCCAGCCGGTCCTGGAAGCTCCCCCGGCGTGTCCGGCGGTTCTCAACCATCTGCAACCGTTCCCTCCGGACCTGGCTCCTCGACCCCCGGCTCGACCCCGTCGGGATCTTCGTCGTGTGAGAGCGGCCACTGCCACGGCACAGGCCATCTGATTCAGGATCTGGGTCCTCAGGCCGATCGCCTGTTGAGGGTCGTCGGCAGCGGCACGGAGGAACTGCTCATCCAGCTGAGCGACCCAGTTGCTGACCTGTTGGCCGGACTCGGCTTGGTGGGTCTATCTCAGCCCGTGGGAAGCCTTCTCCGAAGCGCCTCCAGCATCGGTGAGCTGGTGTCGGACTTGGGTCAGCCTGTGGACAACCTTTGCATCGTGACGGGCAAGGGTCTTGGTTTCTTGTTGATCGAATTGGACCACCCCGTGGCTGATCTTCTTCGCGGACTTGGCCTTGACGCGCTCGCTCAGCCGGTGGGAAATGTGCTGAGTGATATCGGCAGCAGCCTCAAGCGTCGGACTGATGTCTCGAAGCCGGCGGGTCTGCTCGAGGAGCTGGCCCCCGTGGTGGATTGCATCCTTCAAATCACCGGCGAAGACCTCAAGCCACTGCTGATCCGTCTGGGCAACCCCGTGGCGCAGCTCCTGGTCAACCTGGGCTTGAACGAGGCTGGGCGCAGCGTGGGCCAAGTGATCCGGTCGGCTGCCTCGGTGGGCGACCTGATTGCCAACCTGGGACCGGTTGTGGATTGCCTGCTCACGGTGGTGGGTGAGGACGGTGGTCTCCTGCTGATCAAGCTGGATCCCGATGTTGCCGCCTTGGTGTCTGGCCTGGGGTTGCCGGCTATCGGAGTGCCCGTGGGTACCATTGTCGGGGAGCTGGGAAATGCTTTGTAGGGTGTGGTGGAGAGAGAGCATCTCTGGAAAAGAAGGGCGATCACTTATGTCACTTCCCCACATTCACTTTTTTGTATCCTACTACGGAGTGCGTACTAGGTACTCCACACTCTGACCGATGTACCGATATACAGATAATACTAATAATTAATGTCACGAGAGAGTTAGCTACATAGCGTCAGCCATTAGTAATCCCAGGATAATCTCATCCCCGGGAGTAAGACTGAATCGCCCCACGGGGCACAGTTACCGATCTGTGGGGAAATCATGAAATCATGAACCTCTGCGCCAAAGCCTGGGGGAAGACCAAACCAGTCACCGGCGAGGGAAGCAGCAGCATTAGAATTCGCCTCTCCGGGCTGGTCGGAAGGCAAGAGGCGCCAGTCGAGCCCCCCCCCCCCCCCCCCGTTGGATGGAATGTGGGAAATCGTGGGGAGGAAAAGCATCACGGGTAAGATTTACTCCGCTTTCGCCAGTCCGATTGCCGGCTGCCATCCCATATTTAATGTCCTGTATATCCTCTTCCACTTGGATTTTTTGAAATACTGTTTTACTCTTCTAAGAACCATCTCCTCTCCTCTTCTCTCTTCTCTTCTTTACTACTGTTAGCATTCTCCTCTCCTCTCCTCTCACACAATGGCGCAGTCCCCGCAAGATCTGAAGGTGGCCATTTTGGGCGCAGGTATGGGTGGTCTCACCTGCGCTCTGGCTTTGGCCCGGGAGGGTTTCAAGAATATCGATGTCTATGAGACGGCGCATGACCTGGGCTTTGTTGGAGCCGGTATCCAACTTGCCCCCAACATGGCCCGCGTCCTCGACCGTTTGGATGTGTGGAAGCAGATTGAGGCCGAGGCTGTCAACATTGTTGAGACCAGCGTCCGGGGTATGTTTTTATTTTCTTTTTCTTTTTCTTTTTTGACTAAGGAATGAGTGACTGACCCATCATCGTGCAGTTGGAGCGACGGATGCGGAATTGGCGCACGTACCGCTGGAATACATTGCGGATACGTATGGCTACCCGCACATGGTTGGACATCGTTCCTCCCTCGCCAACGGCCTCTACCAGGGCTGTCTTCGCCACCCCGACGCCATTCGCTTCCACTTTGCGACCACCGCCCAAGATGTCACCTTCGGCTCCAAACCGTCCTTCAAGGCCGTTCCCCGCAACACCACCCAGGAGCCCTACCGCGTCGAAGCCGACGTCCTCCTCGGCGCCGACGGCATCAAGTCCAACACGCGGGTTGCCATGCTCGACCTGCTCGGCATCCAGGCCGGCGTCAAGGACACCAACCAGGCCGCGTACCGGATCATGATCCACAAGGACCAGGTCAAGGACGACCCGGAGCTGCTGGCCCTGATCAGCGGCAACAAGGTCACGCGCTGGATCGGCGAGAAGCGCCACATCATCGCCTACCCGGTCTCCAACAACACCATCTACAACCTCTCGACCACCCAGCCCGACATCAACTTCGCCGCGGCCACCAACGCCACCTACACCACCCGCGGCGACAAGTCCGTCATGCTGCAGGTCTTCGGCGACTTCTGCCCCATGGTCCAGCGCATGCTCGGCTACGTCCCCGAGGGCGAGGTCTGCGAGTGGAAGCTGCGCGTCCACGAGCCGCTGCCCACCTGGGTGCACGAGTCGGTCGCCCTCGTCGGCGACTCCTGCCACCCGACCCTCCCCCACTTGGCCCAGGGCGCCGCCCAGGCGATCGAGGACGGCGCCGTCATCGGCAAGGTCCTGGCCCAGCTGCCCGACACCACCCCGGCCTCGATCCACAAGGCCCTCAAGGTCTACGAGAAGATCCGCAAGAACCGCGCCTACGCCCTCGTCGAGCTGGCCGCCGCCTCCGGCCGCGCCCTGCACCTAGGCGACGGCGCCGCCAAGGAGGAGCGCGACAAGCAGTTCGCCGCCCTCCGCGAGGGCAAGGGCCCCGTCCCCGACAAGTGGGCCGACGCCGACGTCCAGCGCGAGATCTATGGGGTCGATGTCACCCAGGAAGCCACGGAGCGCTTCGATGAGCTGTTCTTCGCGGCGTAAGCTTCTCCCGTTTCTTCTTCCCTCCTCCTGTTGTTTGTGTTTCTGGCCCGGCTGCCAAGTTTTCCCCCCTTTGCATGTTTTGTACATTTTTTTCCGGTTCCTGTATATAGAGCTGATGGGGAATTTTTCTTTTTCTTGATAAAAAAGATCAGGTCGTGAAGCCAAACTGGTCTGAAGCCCGTTTTTGTTTGTTGTTCTGGTGGAAAGCGATATTAGCATTGTCTGATACATCCAATGATGAATTATGATCCTCTTTTCTTTCGCCTTTGTCTGCTAGTTGGTGTCGTATGTCGTATGTGCTCTCGTAGAACAGTGGGGAAGCTATAAAAGGGATCTGCTATTGACCCCGTGTTTTCCCCCGCCAGTTCCTAGATAATGTCTCAATTACACGGAGTGTAGTTGGGGACTAATGTCTTGGTGAGGGAATCCGATTTGTATGGCTAGAATGCCTGCTGTGAGACCTTGTAATGCTTGTTGGCACTGTATCGTATGGTCAGTCGTTGTCCAGGATGGGAGTGGTGTCAGCTCAGTAGTTGTTTGTATTCGGTTTGTTCTCCATCTTCGTCTTCTTCCCGTCCACCTCTCCTCTTTCACTCTCCTCCTCTACCCCAGACAACCCGACTCACGCCTCGTTCATCTTCGTCAAAGACCTTGCTGCATTTCTGAGGACTAAATTCACGTTCGGTTTCGCAATAATCATAGTCTCGATGGTCAATCGAGTCTCGCTGCTATGTTCCACCGTGTGTGGTTGTGTAGCCTCTGCGCCGCACCACACCGCCACAACATCCGCCACATCATCCGAACCGCGGTAAGTGTACAGGACTCAACTCTCTAAAACATATATCTACACGCAGAGGCTAATGATACTTGAATAGGTTAGTCACCCCGAGGCCTCTTTCACCCTTGTGACAATAGCCATGCGGCTACAACCGCCTGCACCACTCTTGCACAACTGGACTCGGGAACGTACTCGTACTTTCCGAGAAAAGATTCTCGCTGACGAACACCCCGATTAGGCTTGTATAGTACCATACTGAGTGGTGGATCCAGGCGTTTAAGTCGGACTAAGAACCAAATAGGCAGGAGTCTCTCCAACACCCACTGCCACTGCCACCGCTACACTGAGCGAGTCACTAGCGAGGTTTATCCGCCG